TCAAAAGAAACATGTATCTTTTGGGGGTTTTTAACCAGTGCAGTCAGCTTCTGAGAACAACACTACTAACTGGAGGTGAAAAAAAGACCTTGCTTCCTAAATCTTAGCTGAGTTAATGAAAATTAAATTAATTATTTTATTGTTGTTCAACTTTGCACCCTGATAACATCTGCTATTTTCAAATCCATTTCCTCCTCTTGTTCAGTGTGTGTGTGTAGTTTTTTTTCTTGTTTAAAGCAGTTTGTTAGAGTTTGGGGGACGGGCTTAACTTGGAAATCTTGTAGCAGGAACTCAAAATTTAGTGATGTAAGCCAGAAATAGAAATGCCATAGCCACCGAAGAGAAGACATGCGGCATTGCTTACTTAAAGCCCCATCCTGTCCCCCCAAGGACAATAGCTGCTACCAGGATGGCACCAGCGATGGAGCCTATTATAAGATTGGTGGCACTAGGACCTGTGACAAAGGATTATGGTAAGACAGACATAAGAACCAACGACTTTATTCACATCATGTGAAGCATCTGAAGGGTAGTCAAACAATTCAAGGAATATAGACAGCACACAAGGTGATGCCTCTAGACAATCTCAACAAGCCCAACTTAACTTACTCTTCTTTAACAATAGGAATGAACAAAGCTATTGGTCTCTGCATTGTGCTATGCTGACTTCTACTAAAGATAAAAATCTAGTATTAGTGAATTCCATTGTAACTTACTCCATTATCTGTGAACGAACAGTCAGCTGAGGACACTAAGATATTTGTGAATAATCCCTTAACTTAAAGGAAGAAGTATGAATGCTGTATGTTTTAAGACTGCAGCAAATAAGAAAGGAAAAAAAAATCAAAAAGCCCTGTCTTTTTCATGGAGCTTCTGAAAGGTGTAGATTTTTTAATTTGAGCTGAGAGCATTCAGCACCACTTGCTAATCATAATCCAGACTCCCTACGGTTACATCAATGCTAAATTTACAAACAATTGTTTGACAAAAGCAAAGGACTATATAATAGGGAACAAATGTTTAAATAAAAGCTGTATTCCTCCTAAGATTTCCAAACATCAAAGCATCTCTTCATTGTCCTCAAGAAGGTACTAAACAACAAAGTGGGGAAGGGTGGAGCAGGAAAAAAGAGCAACAAAAAGAAGCTGCACAAAATATGTTCGTGCAATTTTCTGAAGAGGGCAAGAGACCACCTAAATAAGATATTAATAATTGACCCTTAAGTGCTCTACTTACATAGGGCAGAGGAAAACTGATAATAAGCTTGAGTAACATTTTAATTGCTCTGTACCAAAACCTCCTATCACGCAGTTTTTGATGTAAAGCTAATTGCATCTGAACTCAAGGCAAAAGGAAACCAACTCAACAGTTCTTCTGCAGTATATTGTACACTTTTTGTTTAAACATTTACGTTTTCAGGAATAGCTTTCAGAAACAGTTCTTACCTCCTATCTCAGTCTCCCCAAACCAACACTTCTACACAGCAATGAAAATTTTCCTAATTAATTATTCTGAAACCGAGTTTGGAAAACTGTCAGACAGCTAACATAAGGAAGAAAGAGGAGCAGCCAGAGATCAGCAAAGAAAGAGCAAGGGCAGCTGCAACAACTGAAAGTTTTAAGCTGTTAGGTCGGTATCACAAAACCTCCTGCCCAGTCCCACACACTACAAAAGCACTTGTCACAAGTCTTAAAATTTACTGCAGCAACCTAACTTCATTGCATCCATTACATGTTTCCCACATCAGTGCTTCTGGAGATCTGATTAGCTAAAAGAAACCAAGTTTTAAAAATTGCTTCCTGCAGTTCCTATACAAAGAATATTCAGGAATAGGAACAAAATACTTGGACTGAAATGAAATATAGTGAGCTTTACAGATGAGCAGTGCACAAATTTGACAACGAAAATTAAAAGGTAATTTTTCACAATTTGGAAGAATGTATCTTATTTGAACTTACCTTTAAAGTCACACCTGACTCAAATCAACAGGAGTGACCATGGTGGAGGGTAAGTGCCATTCCACAGGCATTATAGTCCCAACTAAGGCTTGCTTGCAACAGCAGTCTAATGAGCCTAATGAGCTACTGTGTCTAACTGAGATCTGGTGTTTACTCTGGATTTTATCAAATGATTTCACACAACAAAAGACTGAAAACATCGCAAGTACTTTATCTGTAATAGATTTTATAAGCCTTGAAAAATTCTAAAGCTGATTTCTTTCTAGCCATAGAATGCTATCTTCCCACAAAGAGGTACAAAGATTAACTGATAGTAACAAAGTCATAACTTAACTTAGATAAAGAAGTGCCAAATCACCACTTTTTACATCTCTCATTCTCACTATGTTTCCTGATTGTTAAATGTCAAGGGGTGTGGAGGGAGAGGGTGTGTATCCATTTCATAGTGCACATCTATTCACCAAACAGCAGTTTGTTCTTTCAATACAGAAAATCAATATTGGTTTTGTTTACTATAAATACGGAAGAATTCAATCAAAATTTAAACAGAAGAGGATAATATACAAACCAGTTAGGTTCAGTTAATGGAAAAGTATAAATATAAAAATGTATATAAATATATAAGCTGGTAGAATAGGTATGATGACTAAAACAGCAACCACTTGTTTCTGAGAACAGAGTCCTCCCAACTGCTGAATTCCAGTTTGAAAACACAGATTTAAGAGGATCACTGGCAAGTTGTTTTAAGACCACAATGGACTGGGCACATAAAAGTACTTACAATGGGACTACTTTTACATGTTATACTTCACCTTAAAGTTCTATGCCTTATGTTTTACTAGGCATTATCAAAAAATTGTATTATTACTAAACCAGAATTTTTCTACCAGTAAAGTGACATTTATGAAGAAAGTATAAATCCATATGTTTCAGCTCAATAAGCCTCTCTAGTCACTGAACTCCGATGCTTGACAGGAAACCAGAAGTATGAGGAAGGTTTTAATAACCACCATACTGTGGGGTCATTTTTCATCCAGACTATGACAAGATGCAATACTTGGGTACATTTGTTCTTTCCACCATACTACTGCTATAATCTACAGACACAGATTTTTCAGGAGGAAGCTCCTGCACAACACCTGGCACACCACCTTTTCCTGCAAAGCACTACCTGCTCTGGCATGGCTATTTGTACCATCCCAGGTCATATTTTAGGACCCCGATACAAACCCTACTGAAGGTGTTAAAAACAGAACACACCTATAATTTCAGTAGACTTCAGACTATTCCCTAAGTCTTCATCATCGTCAGCTAGATTCTACAAGAATTAATATACACTGCTTTGAAACTCTGCTATTATTAGAAGTTAAAGCTATTTCAGCACTTCAAACAAAGGTTTACAATTTGCAAGTGAAGTGTTGAGGAAGGAGGAAGAAGGGCAGGACCTGGCACCAGGTTGTGCTTGATGAACACACCCTCCGCTGCAGCCACTGATGGTAACAGCCACCAGGGACTGAAGGGTATTAGGAAAAGAGAGGGAATTTGGATTCCCCATGTGCTTTCTGTAAACCAAACAAAAAGTAGCAGTGGCTTGCCTTGAATGTACATTTGTATCTGAAGGAACCAGAGACCAGAGAAAGATTGATGGGATGCAGGAAAGAAGAATGGACAGAAACACAAAGAATGAGTCAGGTAATGAGTGATAAGAGCAAAGATGAAGAAAAGCTGGACTTAGTGTAGAACAATACAGGAGCAAGAACAAATGGTCAGGGACATTGGTCAGAGATGAGTGGCTTCAGACAGCAGGTAAGGGGAGAGAAAAACAGAAGGGTACAAGGCAGAATGTAAGCAAAAGGCAAGTGGTCCTCAACCTGTAGGTAAATTTTCTCCTTCCAAATCTGTGTCCCAAACCTCTACAACCTTAACAGTTGTCAGTTTTTAGCAAAAAGCTGTAAAACCCACCAGTAAAACACAGATCTAATCTTTCTCAAGCAAATAATCTATTACCTTCTTCCTTCTATTTGTTTTCTATTAGTTGTCCTCTCTGAACACAAAGGTCTCTACTCTTCTGAGAATCCGAGATGAGTTTCATGTACCAGACAGGTTCCTAGGGCTGTGAACTCAGCATGTGAACACAAAATGCTGCCTTGCCAGACTAGAATTGTACATGCATGCCTTTTCACACAGCTTGTTTAGAAATCAGACTGTCCTGTCATGAGTTCCCCTTCAGAGAGGTGCCACTGCCACATGACAGATGTAACATATAGTACTGGAAACCTGGTGAAGTTGGAATTCTCAGAGGAGCAAAATAACACCGCTTTAAGCTGTAGTTTGTACAGTGAACGCAGAATGAAGGGAGCTCTTACATGGGCCTTTTTATGCATGTGTGTATATATATAAACAAAATTTGTATAAATCATAGCCATTGTTAAAATGGAGGTAGGGGGATAATACTTAAGGTTACAGTTTCCTAAAACTATGAAAAGACAACAAAAATTGCTCATATATATTGTGTATATGTGAATATTATACTTCAGCACTGTGCTATCTTCGGGTAACAGGTTCCTAGCAACAGAATTTTCAGAAGCTTTACTGTAAGACTAGCTGTCTGTATGACTACCATCAGCTTTCATCTGCCTAGCTTATCATTAGACTGAAAGCCCCACAGACTGTAATAAACAATTTCTGCATTTTATGAAATAGTCCACATTACTCAGTCTGTTTTGTGAAATAATCACGAAATTCCATTTTTTCTCCATTATTTTTGTAATTTGGTGTAATGGAAACATTTAGACACTTAGTTTTATGGTGACAATGTAAAAAATTCACAAACTTATTGTTTTATGCCCCACATTGTCCCAGACAGGAGAAGGTTCAACACTGCATGAGCAAACCACATGACACGGACACAGTCAAATCACAGGACAAATACGGTCACCACATGACAAAGCTAACGGGGTCATACACAGAGGGCTCAGGTGCATACGGTTACCTCACAAACTAGGCACCAAACATAAAACTCAAACTAAGAAAAATGCTTACTCTATTCCCCACCCTGTGCCTCCAAAAATCACCCCCAAGGCCAGAATGGTCCCTGCCACTGCACCTATTAGCCTGTTAGCGGCCATGCTCACTGTGTGGAGGGAAAAGGGAAGATTTTTTAAGGAAATTATCACATATATGTCTGAAATGAAAACATGAAACAATTCCTCAAAGGAATACTTTATGCTATAATCCACTGTTTGGATAAACAATTCAAATCTCCTCACAAACCTTTATTTACCAAATACTGCAGCTTTAAAAATTCTGAAATGACATATTTGGTTTCCTTTGAATGTTTGCAAATATTTCAATGAGAAGTTTTCCTGTAAATGAAAGACTATTCCATTTACTGTTGTGATTCTATTATTTATTTAAAAGAGGAACATCCTCAACCTACTGCTTATTTATAACAACCAAAATGTAAATAAATTACCAATAAGAAAACTTCCTTTTGATCACCAGAAACTTACTGTATCCACAATATTACTAAGCAAATGAAAACTGTTCGGAAACAGTTCCACTGCAGGGAAAAAAACCCAAACACAACTTTGAAATTCATTTCTTTACTAGATAGTAATATTTTCCTTTGTTACCTCATTTATTAATAGGACTCGCTATTTATCTATATGATCTAAAGACAGACAACATCTTTTAAAAGCAAAAACCTACCTTAGAAACACGCTTCAGGTTACACTCTGGAAATTCTGATATGTTCAGGTAGTCTCTCTTAAGACATTAAGGCCTTATTTTTAATTTTTAAGGATATTTGTTTGAGAAAAAACATCTGTACATTTCCTATGTTAGAGATTAAAAGTTTGATAGATTCATTGACTCACAATAGACCACAAGCAAGCAGCTGAATTCCCTATCCAATGGGAACTTTTCCAAGGGACAAAAACTTTATAGATTTCATGCTGAATGAAGTCTGTTTTGAAATGCTTTGGGTAATTTTCTTCCAAAATTTTCTTCCAAAAGTTTCATAAATATACACACACAAACACACACACACACACTTGAGACATAAGTTTTATACTAAAATAAAACTACTCCACTAGTCAAATAAAGGACTAATTCTGCAAATTAAATGGTAAAGGAAGAATCTCGTGTGCCAGTACTCTAAAGTAACTCAAAGTTTCTGCAGTAACCAAAAACTAACAGCAAGAACTCTTTGTCTTCCCCAAACTGCTAAATGCTGTGTACATCTGCTAGTACAGGATACAGTAGGTTGCTGAGTTTAGAATAATTCAAGGGTCATGTATTAACAGCGACATAATAATAAGGACCACTAATTTTTTTAATCCTGAAATAGAAAATGGAGCCAAAAAGCAATTGATGGATGATGGAAAAATCTGAAAAGTGCAGCAGAAGTAGCAGCCAATTGTCAGTTATCATAATAATATATAAATAATTAGCAATACTTCCTAACTATACATGTTCTAATTGTAGTAAGAAAAATGCTTGGATTTATGGTGTGAAAAATCTTAAACCTATTAGGTTTTAATTTTCACATCATGAGTGTTTCATTTCTGAAACATAACAAAATTCAAACTTATGGCTAAGGAAAAACTAGTATTTTGGTTTCTGTCTCAGATTTGTAAACTGGCATATGACAAAGGGAGTAATAAGGGGAAAAAAGTTAATGGAAACTACTTGAGTATGTTGGATCTTTACAACAGACAAAAGTATTCTTGAATTCTTCTGAAATCTTCTCACAAAGGAATTTCCTCTATAAGCACGCAGAAAGAAATCACAGTAGCTCTGTTAGTGTTCAGGGTCCTAAATTCATTTCTAGGGGATTTAACATCAATAAATTACTCTAACAATATAAGAAATATAATCCATCTTTTGAGATCATTGAGCCACCTTGTACAAAAGCATAGTCTGCCTTTTCGCAGAGGAATTCGTTAAAAAATGCAGTCTAAATGTTGTCTGTACCTACTGGCAGAATTCCATGCACATACTATTCATTTAAGGCTTTTGCCCAGTATATTTCAGCATTGATGTATTAATTTTCACACAGGCATTTCCATTCTGAACTAGAGGAGTTAATCTGGCTTACAATAACATAACCAAGGTAAGCATACCTCCTGTGTTGCCCTTCCTACAGACCTTTTTAAAGAGAAGGGAATTAATTCTTACCTACAGGATTTGGAAACGAGCAAAATAAAAATCACGTACTCTCTCAGTGTCACAGCTGTAAATGCTGCTCTCCTCATCCACACACAGAGAGAACTGAACAGCTCTATAGTGCTGGTCTCCATAATTTTTTTAAGACTGTAAGCAGCGTTCTACACTCAGGAAGGTTTTTAGGGGAAGTGGAATGACAAGTAGCTGCGTAAGGCAGGGTGCAAAACAGGCAGCTACACTGAACAGTGGTGGGATTAGAAATCCAGGAAGCACCTGTACAGATTCCCTCATACAAATCTGGACTGTTCAAGAGAGCCTCCTTCACAATAGCAATTTGTTTTAAGACTATATCTTCAACAGTTCTTGGTAAAGGTTTACTGGAACCATTCTGCTAAAGGGCAACAGGAAAAGGCACACAAGACGGATGTGGAGCCTTTCTGACTCTTTCTTTGAAACCTTGGATATTTTAGAGTAATCAATTAGAGTCTGATCCCTAAGGGCTAAATTTTTAAGCAACTCTATCTTTTTCCCATCTGCCTTGTAAAAAGGGGAGAAGAACCTGGAACTGGGATATGGAGAAAAATTTTGTTTGTGTTTCTCAGTTGTTTGTTGGGAACTTTATCTGTAAATGCATAAGATTTGATGAATATAGTCTGATGTTGGACAATACCCTGATGACAAGACATACAAAAACTGGACAGGACAATCCAAAGATATTCTTTGGCAGAGAAGTCAGAGAGAATCTCAAGTGCTTTTCTTCCTCTTTGAAAAACTTTTTTGATGAGTTATTTCCTCAATATCTCCTCTTTGTATTTATACTTCATATGCAGTTGAAATACCAACTAAGTACATAAGAATAAGCAATAATGATTGTAAGAATAATTTAAGTTCTTAAAATCTTAATTTATTTCTTTTGTCTTTCATTAAAATCTGATTTCAAGGAATCTGATTTCACTAGGGACATACCACTTTTCCCTTTTTTATGCCATAGCTCTCTGAATTAGCTGAGAACAACTAAGGAAACTGGAAATCTCTCGTAAAACATAAATACTCAATTATCATATAAATAACAAGAGACACACTTAGTCAGGTTCCAATCATAAAGAAAATTATTATTAAAAAATAGAGAATAAAGGATGAAGGAAAAAACATTACCTGTTGAAATCTTCCACAAATTTATGTTAGAAAAATGAAAGTTTCATCAATTCTTAAAGTAGAAAAACCTACTTCATCTACACAGCTGTGCAATAGTATTCTCTTTTTATATGCTAATTCTACTACCACGTATCAATGGAACAATGTCATAAATACTTGAAAGAACATCAAAACTGAAACAAAACACAAACCCTTGGGTCCTTCCTCCTTCTTGCCACCAGTATCCCTGACAGGATCATCAATGCTGCAGTCTGTCCCAGCCCAGGAGAAATTACAAATGCAAGTGGCTTCATTACTACAAACCTGGAAAAGAAAATAAGTGACAGCAGTTAGTTTTTAACTACATTTTATTAACTTTATTTAACATGTAATGAGATATTTAATTCATGATACAAAACTTACCCATTTATATATTTGTAACAATGGCACTGAGTGGTTGGAATGATATAACCCATCAATAATCTGAAAGTTTGCTTTAACCCTCTTAATACACTCAGATGCTAGGAAAGGCAGAACTGGTTCTATCATCACTTCCACTACAACCTGCACAGGTTGTAAAAAATAACAAATTTTCATCCAAAAAACCCTATCTAAACTAGTTAGGTTTCACTAACTTCACTAACCAACTATCTAGACTTTGAGCCTGAATGCCCAGAAGGAACACAAGCATTTGCATGTGAAAAGGTTCAAGAAGACATGGTTACCCTTTACAACCTCTCATTTACAGTTTGCTCCCATGTAGAACAAAATCGATATATTTTCATTGGTTTCATTGGCATTTTTCCTAAGCAGCAATGTTCATCTTCTAAAAGAGAGGTAACAGTGCTTCCTAAGTTTGCATTTGGTTGAATGACCTCTAAAACAGGACTTAGGACTCTAAAATTGACAATCAGATCCAGGAAAATCTAACCAATGGACAAAACCTAAAACATCAAATCAACAGTGAGAGTTAATAGCTATAAATTTTGCATACAAAAAAGAACATGGAGAAGTTACTACAGAAAAAAGCATGACATGAGAAACAGACATAAAACTAAGAGTGAAGTTTTGATTATAGGACTAGAAGTGAAGTCAATCATTAGACAAACAGCTAACTATCTTTTGGACACTGGAACATGATGTGAAAAAAAAAAACCAGCAAACAACCTACACACTAAGTAGCATTTGTGATTTTTTTAATTCAACTTTTATCACACTCTACTTCTTAAAGTACTCACTGAAGAATCTGATCTAGGAAGTTGAAGATAAATACATCTTATGGCAGGTTTGATCAACTGAAATACTCCTTTAAAATTAGGAATTGTAATAATCCAAAACAAAACAGGTAAGATGGTTCACTCACCCTTCGTGCCACTCTCAAAAAGTACCAAGATGATTTCTAGATCTCCTAGATACTTTACTTGCCAATTTTAAAATTTTTCTTCTTGATTTTGAACCTAACCTCTTTTTTGAAACCTCCTCTTTTTTGAAACACTCAATTTCATATTCAATTACAGACAACAAGAAGAAAAAAAACACCTTCTTGTATAAAGTCTAGCCCCTTTGGCAAGTATGTGTCTGACTCAATCCCACCATGGAAAGGTTTTATCGCTATTTAAAACAGGAAATCTGTTCATCAAAACATACCTAGTATCTTAGACAAATGGAGTTATGGATAGAATAACAGAATATAATGTGCCCAAATGTAAAATTATACACTTTGGGTCTGTTCAAGAAGAATGTATCCTCTCTGCTGAGGACCCACAGTTTGGAATTTTAATTATTTAAGTCATAAAGTATAAATCTATGAACACAGGACCAACTTTACAAAGGTGATAGTATGCAGGAAAAAGTTTAACTGAAAATGGCAAGTGGCTTGAAATGTGGGTAGTACATTACAGAAGTCTTTACAATAACTAGCGTCAAAGTTCCTTCTTGCTAGTAACAAATCAAATACTTCAGATGTAATTGGAGAACTAATCTGATAATTTTGCTTTCTAAAATTTTATCTTTGCTTCATAAAATGGCAGTTTTCCCCTGAATCTTAACATTTCTGCTTTCAGATCAACAGGTCTTAAGAACACTTTTGGGTAGAGAACTGCACAGGGTGCATTAGGATTAGGTACAGCAGAGGGAGCTGGGGAAGCTGAGCTGCTCACTCCCAGTACAGACTCACCCCATGACCAGAACAGACTTTTCCATTAGAACCAATGGGACAGCTGCTTATGTTCAAGGACTGAATTGGCAGGCACTTTTTGTCCAGACACATCATTTGAGGTCCACATGGAGCTCCATCCTCCACATAACCTAAATCTGTATCATCATCTAAAAGAACATGAGCACCACTAGGAGAAATAAGTTTTAAGATACTATTAGTATTATGACTGGCGTCTCTTGAAAATATTAAAAACATGTTAGTGTAGGTACTAAAAGCTTCGTATCTTTCTTTCATTTAAGCATACAGATAAACTGAACAAAACTATAAAGTTTTTCTGCCTGTCCACAGCAATGATAAAGTGTTCCAGTTGTCAAACTAAAAACAAGTCTATATATTAACTTAACTACTCAAGAAGGGCACCTTAGGCCTAGGAGATTTTTAAGTCTTTGACAAACAATGCTTTTCTCTTTTTTTTTTTCTTTTTTTTCTTTCCTTTTTTTTTCCCCCAAAATGCTGTGAAATACTAATGCTAGAAAAATATCAAGAACTAACTTCCCATATGATGATATTTAAATAAAATCACTAGTAGAATAATGGAAGAATTAAGAATCACAGTTCATTCAGGACATAACTATGCAAGAGAGTATTCTTAGCATGACGGGAATGTTGCCAATGTCCTTAAAATACAAACCTAGTATCATGCAGAGCAGACTAAAACCCATTTACCTGTCCTTTAACTGAACTGTAGCTTAATATCTTATTCTGACACAACTCCGCAGTTTCCTTCCTTTTTGCCTTCACTACCCTACAGCTGTTTCTCTGAGTATTTAATACTCAAAATCATTATGTTTAAAATATGGGTCTTTGGCAATACAGACTTTCTCCACCCCCAGAAAAACATAATGCTGAGCATTATCATTAAGCTCTGACTGTGAAGTTCTGCTATTGGAGGGATCAGACACAGTAATCAGAAGGATAACCCACATTCAAATGTGGAATATTAGGCTTTTATATTTTTTTTTAATCAAAAGAAATACCACTTAGAATAATGACTTTGCTGCAATATATTAATTACCTAAAATTCACAGAACTTTACATTTATGTTTATCTTAATTCAACTAGGCTTGACAGAGCAAAATCACATTGGAATACTGCATTATCTTTTACCTGCAGTCCACTATGCGTCCTTGATGATAAAAAGAATTTGGGATAATTTCTCCTTGAACTTGACCAACTCGAGGAACTCTAGTAAGATTAGTACAGAGCAAAAAGCCACAGAAAACATCACTGTAAAATGAAAACATAAACCAAAATATTACTGGAATAATATGAGGTAGACTTACAAAAAAGAAAGTCTGGCAATGATGCTGCTGATCACAGTAATATATTACCATAAGCCACATGACAGACTTTCAGACTACAAGGCTGGAAATAAAATATTATTTTATATAAATGACAAGAGGCAGAAACAAGTCATCATTCATTCTAATGGACCAGTGAATGTTCACATGAACAAAGAATGTATCTGTGTTCTAAGTACAATACCGTACAATTTAGAGGAGCCAAATCATACAAAGCTTTGTCATGTCAGGTTAAATTACTTTTCGCTCTCTCTAGCAGCTTATATGCCACACATTAATGTCACTTTTGAATTTTTAATTGAATTTTATTTCCCTTGCAAGATAACAGAACCATAAGAACAATCATTAGCAGTTGTGTGTGCCCAAAAATTTCATTAAAAATCTGCTTTATTTTATTTTGTTTTATATCTAAATATATTTCAATATATCTTATATAAGATACTAAAGATAACTCATATCTTCAATAGAAGGATATCACCTAATACTAACTGTCCTAAGTCACAGAAGCAGCTGGATGAATGATGGAAAATGCCTTTGTTAAAACTGCAAAAAATTTAAATAGCTCTTCAGCTAGATCATTTTCCTGCATCTCTCTAGCAACAAAGAAAAGCTTTTGCAGAAATGAAATTTTTAAATGTGCGCATCAGAACAATGCTATTCCCATCTAAATATATTTCAAAAAATTCATTAAACAACTCCTTTCCTTATGATCCTATCTGAAAAATAATTTTTAAGAGAGGCACCTGACAAACATGAAATAGTCAAAGAAGGAAAACACCACTGTGAGTGAAATTTGTATGTGCATACTTGACTTTCTTCTGATTTATTTACTGTTTTGTAATTTTAAAGTCTATCCACTAATGGTCATTAACTAGAAAAATAAATTTAATCAAATATTCATCTAGTAATGATCACACGCAAATGAATCAGCCCTTTTCTCTATAGCATCCAAATGTCTAATGGTCCTCTCTAATCAAAATAATGGTTGGAATGAGTTTGAAACAGCATAATCTGGTATCAATCCTAGAGCAGGCAAAAACAACATGTGCATTTGCAGCCTAATTTATCACTACCAAGTCTGAGGCGTTTGTACGCTATAAACTTGTGAATTTTTGTTGTGTTGTCCCTCAGCTCCTCTGAAATAATTAAAGTCAGTATATTCTTCTGAAAATCTGCGATTCTTTCCAAGTGTATCGCTGAGTCACTTATGGATTTGTCAGAGTGGAACTTTTTCAAGATGCAAACCTTGTGAGGGAAAGAAGATTCAAAATAGTGCAAAACAAACTGCTGAAGCATTCAAGAAAAAGTAGAAAAAGTAGACAATATGAAACCATTATCAATCTATTTAAATTACAAATAATCTCTACCAAGATGAACTTACTGTTTGCTGCACTGAATCCATCGGTCTCCATCTTTTCCACAGTTTCCTTTTGTTGTGCCTTCTGTATTAAGCTTTTCATAACAAAATTTGTCAGATCCTGAAGACTCTGTTGATGAAGAAAAAAGAAACATGCTTTCCATTGGCAACATGAGAGCTTTGAAACCTGCATAATTTATTGCAGCAGTTCTCTGTAATTTTTTAATACAAAACATCAATCTAAACACACATGTATGTGTAGAGACCGTATTTTCCAGTAACTACAGTAGGAAACCACCAGGCTAAACTGACATACCAACTGATGGCTTTTTTAACTAATGGTCAATAATTCAAAATTTGCTCTGAACTTCTAAAAATGTAGCCTCCATAGTGCCTGAATTTTCTTCTGCATATGAAATTTATCTGTGGTCTAATTTTGTTAACTTCATAACAGTTGTACATAGATTTAAATCTAGCTGTTTTCACTGATGTCATTCCTGATCTGCATTTCAGAAGATCAAAGATTTTATATATGACATTTATGATAAGCATATGTTCTGACATCAACTCTATGCTTATTTTATTTGCTTATTCTATTTTTCAGGTGTTGATAGAAAAACCAAAGTTGAACAGCCAAAGTGTAATTTCTACTTATTTTTTGGAGTAAAAATCTGAACTAATATGTTTTAAAACCCACAATTATTTACTAAGAAGCTCATTTGTTTTTTCTAAAAATGAATTTAAAAAAAAAAGAAAAAAGAAAAACACAACAATATACAGAGGAAGGTACAATAATAAAAATAAATAAGACAGAGTAGTTTCAATGGCGGTTATAATTAGACAAAATGCACAAGAAAACATTAACTGCCAGAGTACAAGAGATCCTGGTAGTTCTGCTCTGCTGAATTGTCTCGAAGTCATTACACAGAACATTCACCCCCTCTAGACTTTAAATTCACACCAAAGTACTAATTTTCCTGACTTGTAGGATGTTACAGCAAAGAGAGGCAAGGTGGAGCAGCATGAACCATTGCTGGGATAATGGGATTGACAACTGTCATTTAAAAACACCCAAAACATCTGTTTTTGAACTGTACCCAAAAAATCCTCAAATCCCCTCACCCTGGCAACATTTGCTGCCCTACCTAGGTCTGCAGCCACATCACATCAGAACAGTCTCACTGACACCACTCCCAGACAGAATTTCACCTGGCAATCAAGCTACAGTTTCCCACTGCAGTTTTCTCACTCTACTGATCAGAAGACTTTAACTTAGAATGACATGAACAAAAAATAAAAATACTGAAAATACAAAACAAAGGCAGGAATGAACCAGAAATAAAATACATTTAAGGTAGTTAAAGTCAACCTACTAGATCCCCAGATATATTTGCACTGATTATCTCTTGTCTTGCATTCACCATTATAGCAACGACCCTAAACAAAACACAAGATGTTAGCAATGAGAACTGAACACTATTTCATCTCCTTCCCCTCCCACGACAAATGTCTCATTTTGACTCTTCACACACATGTTGCGATCTATAACAGTTTTCATGGATTTGGGTAGATGGAGTACACATTTTGGCCCAGATTCCCAAAGCCAGTTGATGTCTAATACATATTAACATTTCAGCAGTTGCTTTATATTTCCCCTTTACATAGTTATAAAGAACTTATTAATATGGAGTGTAATAAAAGATCTACATGTAAAATGTAGAGATACCAAGTGGATTTTATTTAAAGTAGAATTCTGGACTATTCATAGTGTGCATAAAGCACAAGCGACATTGATGTTGAAAGGATAAAATTTATGAAGAAATATGGAATACAGAATTTAAAAAAAAAACCAGCTCCAAACCAAAAATGTGTATTTGGTTGATTTCCATACACTGATGTGCAATTTTAAACATAGCATACCTGATTAGAATCACAGGCATACCCATCTTGTTTATGAAGATTCGGTGGACACTGAAAAAAATTAAGATTTTTTACTGTTATGTGTCCTGTAATAATACATCACAGTATCACATACAGAATTTTCCTGGGTTTAAGACAACCACACAACATATAAAGGGGGTAGAGAACATAACTGGTGCTGCAATCTTTATAGTTACAAATACAAATGAAAATAATCAACATCTTGAGCCATGAAATACACAGTTCCAGTCTAACTTTCCGCATATACTATGTAAAAATTAAGGAGCTGAAGAAAAATGGAAACAAGGTGTTCAGTAACAGGACATTTGGTAGCTAATACTGGGGCCATGTTTGCAATGCTGCCACTGCTTTCGTTTCAGTTCCACTACAAAAGTAAGCAAGCACCTAGTTATAGCCTAGCAGTCTGTTGCTTACAGAGATTTGGGGGGTTTTGTGATATTATTTCTTGTATTCTCTTGGCATTGGAAACTTTTTTGGTCCAGAAGCCTTAGACTACTAAAGCTAGGAGCAAACCATTCTCAAAGTTTTTCCTCATCTAAAATGGACCTGTGAAAATTTGGAAAGGGTATGCTGCTGCAATGTGCCATATTAGTCAGTACTCTAAGGGCAGCTTTCTAGCTTGAGAAAGCCCTTCTCCCTCCCTTTAAGAATGCTCCACTTACAGAATAAAAGATTTACAATAAAATACCAGCAATAGCTACTTATCTGGAAGTATGGATGTCCCAGATGATAAAACAAAAAAAAAGTACTGTAATTTATTGGCATCTATAATTACAGCCAGTGCCCGGAGAGAATGTGATCCATCCTGAATCTTATTTCTCCAAAGCTAAGAGCTTGATGCAGCAGATGACTGCATGGGTTATGAAATTCTCATATAAACTTGAAGTTCATATAAATAGAATAAGTATACAAATACTCAGTATTGAAAAGGTGCATATATCACCTAAAGTATCAAAGTTGCTGTGAAAACAGAAAATGTGCAGAACGCTGAGTGTTTAAAAGAACTCATGTTAAAACATGTTGGTTGCTGTTTATTCCTAAACTTCTGAGTATTAGCAAACTGTTTGCAGGAGAAATGCATAATAAGATCCACAACTTTTAAAATTCTCATACATGTGCACATCCTTAAAAAACGTAACACTTCATACAAGTCTTAGGGGCAGCAACTGAGGGAGTTGGGGTTGTTTAGCCTGGAGAAGAGGAGGCTTGCAAGGACCTTCTTACTCTATACAACTACCTGAAAGGAGATTGTAGCCAGGTGGGGTTGGTTTCTTCTCCCCAGGTAACAAGTGACAGGATGAGAGGAAATTGCCTTAAGTTGCATCAGGGGAGGTTTAGATCAGATATTAGGAAAAACTTCTTCACCAAAAGGGTTGTCAAGCATTGGAACTGCCCAGAGAAGTGGTAGAATCACCACCCCTGGAGGTATTTAAAAGACACATAGATGTGGCACTCAGGAACGTGGTTTAGTGGTGGACTTGGCAGCGCTGGGCAATGCCTGCGCTCGATGACATTAAAGGTTTTTTCCAACCTAAACGATTCTATGCTTCTATATTCAATTAGCTGTAATTTTCTACATCTATATTTTAAACTATTTTATTTCATAAAATGTTACTGTTACCTTTGAATACATTCAAATTTGAAGTACATTTGTATTATTTAAGTTATAGACCAGGCAAAGAGTAAAGGAGGATGTCTGAGAAATATTATACACAAAACCCCATGAGTAGAAAAAAAACAAGTAAACCTACAGAAGTCATATTATGAGTCCACTTAGATTATTTTTGTGAGCTTACAATAGTTCATTGTTATGTTTAAAATTTTTTGTTAGTATTAAGAAATACTCACCCACACACCCCATCATTTTGAGTATATGAATGTGCAGTTTGTCAATCCAATTTTCCTCTTAAATGAACACAAAAAAGAATGCAAACAAGCATCAACAGTGTAAACAGAAGGGTTCTGCACACATACCTGTCCAGAATCCCCAGTGCAGAACTCTCCAATATCACATTCATTCACTGCATATCGACAGTCATAACCTCGTGGGAAAAACTAGAAAATGAAGAATATAGTTCAGGACTAAGATTATATCCACATAAGCTGTTCCTTTTCATTCCTAAAACACACTCTGAACTTTAACAGACTGCACGTGACCATGGACAACTGAAAAGAACAAAAGATATATGGCAGCAACACTCACAAGACATGATGTATTACAGCAGGGTCCATCACTACAGTGAGCTCCATTAGAAAGAGAGCACTTCTTACAACAGTCTGCATAGCATTCCTGAGGAAAATATTAAGCAAAAGTTTGGTTTTTCATTTTAAGCAAGTTTTTTCTTCCCAATCTTTCCAATAAACTATCACATAGCAGCCAAGAAAAGATTCAGTTTAGCACTGATGACCTGAAATTATCAGCTGGAAGAAGACTTTCCAATACTCAAGTACTGAAATAAAGGGATAATATAATGCTATAGCAACATGGGGATTTACATCTTCTGAAGCCTCTTCATAGGTGTGGAACAGCTGTGCCAAATGCATGCTGCTTAATCATATTCAAGGCAGAAAAAAAGATTAAGAAAACTAATTATGGATACAATTATATTTAAATACTAGAGCTAGGATTCAAATCTACAGGGTAGATTTTTGCAGAAACGTTATTGGAATATTTCTACAATAGAGAAGAAAAAACCAGTTTACTTGTTCTGTCCAAACACAGGCACCTATCTCTAAAGTATCAATAAGGAGTCTCCTACTCCAGACACATTCTCTAGGAAAAGTAAAGGGATAAATCACTTCTACATTGCAAACCAAAAACTGCTGGGAAACAGCTGCATCTTGTCATTAGTATAACAGGAACAGTTCTGAGGACACTCTCCATCTTTGCAATCATTCTCATTTAGAAAAATGTTTTCAGACGGTGCTTTAATGAAATTGTTCCCAGACAATAAGAAAAGCAAATATTCATAACCTTTCCCCCCTCCCTTACCAATCACTTAGTTTATCTTAGTATATTTTGTAAGAAAGACTTGTGGAGTAATATATCTCAACTTGCCATTCGGAAACCGCAATCACATTCTTCTCCTGCTTCTACATATCCATTTCCACACTCTGTGGTCTCAAAGAGCTGAAAGAAAAAAGCCCCCACCCCAAAGTAAGAATAAAACTAGTGTCAAATGACTTTTCTGTCACACACAACCCATTTCTGTGGTGCTACAGACACATGCTGTCACGTGCCGTGCTTCGGCGATGGGAAAGGCAGCGTGTTTTTCAAGTGCTGCTATTCAGAATTGATCAGACATGAAAGATGTACAGCTAAATCACATGGATGCTAGTCCTCTTTAGGACAATACTGATCTCAGGAAATGATGATAAACAGAGAGACACTACAATGACACACTAGCAGACAATATCTGAACTTCATTCCTGTTCTATGGACTTCCAGTTCTCTGACAATTCCCTCAAGAAATTAATCTGCAATATCATGTCTGGAATCTACTCAGGTACCCATTCTTGCTCATGCATTTAGCTACTGTCTATTCCTGTGCACCATGTTTGTGCATGAAAATAACAAACATTAAAAAACACTGCCAAAAAGAAGTTCCATGTGCCTTATTAGTAAGTTATAAGTAACCACATACAGATAGTGCTGAACAGTTAATCCTAGGACCAGACATATACAATACAGATAAATTCTACAGTTCAGGATGATATAGGTTCTATATTGATTTCACATATCATAATTCTGATTAAAGGTATTTTTCAGTCTTGTCAAAGATATAATTTTGAAAAAAGCTTGTCTGTTATCAATTATAATTCTGCTTTAAAGCAATAGTAAAAGTAAGAATATACGGAATCTCCAATTTAACTGGGATATTAGTAGCAGAAACACATTCACTAGAACATGGTTGAAATGAGAAGTTAAAAGTTAAGTTAAAATGAGAACAGATAAATCTACAGCTAGATAAGAGTGAAAGATGCAAGTAAATGTTCCTTCTAGTGGAAGGAAGCTGTTGAGGATCATGCAAATATGAAACATAACATATAATACAATACAAGTGATATATAAACTAGGATGGAATTCTTCTTTGGAGTACTTTGGGGGGGGAGGGCAGAGGGGAATCATAATGCCTAATAAAAAACAAATAAAACATTATGCTTTTGTTGCATAAACCACATAGGTAATCAATAGCACCTACAATTTTGTGTACCAAAAGCAAAACTATACTGAAGCAATACCCATATGTACTCTTCTTCAGTAGCAATGTTGTCATGATCAAAAAACCACTGAAATCTCTAATTCCTTCCCCCTCCATAAGCCACTATTTCTACTACACTTCAGAGGAAACAGCAAGAGCTCTTATTCTGAAACTGAAATTCAGTTCTCTGTCAAACAAGAAAATTACAGAACACAAGCATGCACACACAAATTTCCTGTGGCATTAATCAGGAACCATCTAATGTTCATATACATGTCAGAACGTAACTCAGGTTATAATTTAAAAAAGTGATTGCTTAACAAGAACTATGATTGGTTTACCTAAGAATTAAACACACCATTTTGAGCCTTAACTCCTAACCTCCAAATAACAGGATTCTAAACATTGTATGACTATTTTTCCCCCAAAGCACTTCAAAGCTGTAAAACACTGACACAGATAATGTATAAAGACCACTACCCTGGGAGTATTTTCCCCAAAGTAAATCAGGTTTTTATACTGTATAGAGTTGACAACTTCTTCACATTACTTTGCTAGATAACTACCATTAAAAAATGAAGCTGTGTTTTTCTATTTCCCTACTTACTCCTTTCTGTAAAAATTCTTACATTCTTATTCTATAAAAAAAAGATTGCTACCCTGGAAAAGATTAAAAACACTCAAGCAAGCCAAATTTATTTTAGTTAATCGTGCAAGGTGATGGTCTACCAAAGGATACAGGACAATAAACAGAACAGCCTAATAGCCTCATGAGATACTAAATTCTACAAGGACAGCAAGTTTGACACCATGATTAAATAGAATATTAATGCTTTGGATTGCTCTTACTTGGCAAAAAAGAGCCACATGGAATATTTTTATACTACTCTGCTTTAGAAGGATGTCATGCTAATATTGCCTTAGAAAAAAACTATGACCTTGCTAAGTTTTTAGGTGAAAAAAAGCATTGGATGGTACAAGGAAACAGTTATGAATTACAGGGTTTGCTAGATGTACAGCCGAAATGAAATGAAGTTAAGTTAACTTTGAGAACAACCATGAGCTACTACTGTCTACATGAAATGAGCTATGGATTGATTTTTATTTCCTAATGTAGTAATTTTCAATCTTTTTAACAACCTCAGGCAAAAAGTCCAAGAATTGAGTGTATGTGAAGCCTATACTATGACCTCACTTCTGGATTTATTTTGCACTGCTTCCAGCTTAATAAGTAGTGCATTTATGCTGATGGGGATTTAGTTAGCTGTGAAAAATCAGCTCCAATATTTCTCATTATTTCAGCATGAAGAATTGATGGAAAACAAGTTGTGTTCCTCTCAACATTATTTTTAAATGCTAAGGGAATGAACAGGCAGCTAATTACAAACAAACTCGAGAAATACCCACATAGACATCTGAATAAACTTTAGAACAGATGTATATTAGTGAAATTATTACATTTTCACTGCAATGTTTAGCAGATGTGCTGACTACCAACTGATTTATTACCTTTGTTGGCCTGTTAAAAAGACAGGCACCTCCCCCACGAAGTAAAAATTCTTTGTATTCTGCAATGCTGCATTTGGAGAATTTCCTGGAATGGTATACCCTAAAATGGCAAAGAATTAGCTGAGTAAATTACTTCAAACACCACCAGTTACTGGAAGGGGGCAAAGGGATCACAACATTTAATACTGTAAATCCCAGTTTCTTACAACCACTGTGTGCAACAGTATGACAGCTCAGTCTTATTCTCAAACAATAAAACCAGAACAAAAGAAAAAGTTTTAAAACACTTTGCATTTTTATATATCTACTTTATGGGTGTAAAGTATATAAAACTGTAGTCTTCTAATCTTCTCAATAAGGTGAAACCACACTCTTATAATAGCTGCTATGCATCCTGTCGCTTGCATGCACAATCCAGTGTCCCCTTGGGTTTGTTTTTAGCATCTACAAGATGCTATAGCAAGAAGTTTCACAGATTATTTACAGACTGGTAGAAGAATAATTGCATTCCATTTTTTAATGTCATATTTGCTAATCTCATTTCATGTCTCCCTAGTTCTTACACTGGAAGAAATAGTAATCATTTGTTCATGATGTTACAGACTTCTCTCATATTTCCTCACTTCCATCTTTTTCCCAGACTAATGAAAACATACTTTCTCACACAGAAAGTGTCTGATATTTGTATTAGTCATGTTTTGAGATCTGGGAATAGGATCTATTCGCACTGTTAAAGATCAGGGTAACCATGCCATAAGGAGCTTCTTCATCCCTTTCCTAGCAGCTCACTGCTACCAAGCTGCCATATCCCCACTGAGCTGTTCTATATATAAAAAACGTCTTCTGAAGCCCCAGTGATGTGGTTAAGTAAAAAAGCTTGAAACTGCAGCTAATTATTTGCTCATTTCATTAGTCAATCCTTTTTCAGCTCCTGGGTGACTATCTGCTCCTGGCATTTTTATATACTGTTACATTTTCTACAGAAGAATATCTTTTCTACTGCTACTGAAGTATCAGTTCAAGGCTGATACTTTGATGAGTTCACCATGGGAAGAAAGCCAGTATCTATTCTGATCAATGCCTTACTTAGGATTCCAAAAGTAAACTTATGGAATGATTTTCTGTTGCATTCATACAGTGGCTGACAATTGCAAGTCTACAGGGAAGCCACCCAGTTATTCTCCTGAAGGACCAATTTCCAAATACCATATGAAGAAACTAAGCTCCTTCTATCTTATTTGTAGATAGTTTTCTCCCTGATTTTTTCAGTCAAGCTTCCATAGTGAGGAAGATTCTGACAGGAAGTGATTTATAAGACTCAAAATCCTATGTTTCAAAAGTCACCCTTTTCTAATCAATTGCTTACAGTATAGAGAAAAGGATCTCTAGCAGTGTGTGAGGGTAGATGGCAATGAAATTCCTCCCATAGAGATGTGCTTCCCCCTCAGAGTTCACTGACCATTTAGCTAAGGATTGAGTTCCAACTGCTTCTAGTTTTTCACTTATTAGCACTAAAACACATGGATAAAATCCAATACATTTCTGTCATAATGTAAACCATGAACTCATTCCAGAGTCCTCAGTTACTGACATTTATGACATACCCTGTTTCCTCCATGATGCAACCACCCCAGGATTCAGTGCAGTCACACTCTTCTCAGACAAGACCAAAATACAACAGAAAAGGAAAGAAGTTATAAACATGCTTACAATAAATATAAAGTACTTACTATAAAAATGGACCTTGACTAATTATACAAAGATCTGATGGTTGCTTGGCCATACAGACTTTATCCCCAAAAAGGAAACCAGCCCACTTCGAGACATACTAATATATTTAATAAATGTGGTACTTTCAAATTACCATATGTGCATCATCTTAGACTCAACACGAAGTTTCAGGCAGTACAGAAAGCTAAAAATAGCTGAAAATGTTCTTCCCTACATGCTCTCAAAACAGGCAGCACAAGGCTGTGTGCAGTACACTTAGTATCGAAGATTTAAAATGTTCACATTTCCTCCTCCCTACAAAGTATGCAGAACACCCTGAAAGAGAATTGTTCCTGCACAGGCCAGTTTTTTTCCTTTGGAATAGAATTATTAATAGTAATACGTGAAACAGTCAATCAAACATTCATTGGAAAAAGTAGTTGAATGAAAATGGATTTACAGTTTACTTACAGCTATAGCATGTAAGTCAACAGTGACCAAATTCATAACATAAAAGCAAAGAATCAACACTTTATGGTTGGTAAAACAGAAGTTACAAACTACTCATAAAATTATCTACCAAAGAAGTAATATTTTCAAAAAGAAAGGTTCTGTATTGTAATTGCTACTGGAAAACCACACTGCTTCTCCATGGGAAATATTCACAGACAATTTTTATGGTTATTTCTGCTCTATCCAGGTCTTCTACTAATCCTTCTCTATAAAGGAGATCCAAATAAGGAAACTAAACTATAATATCAAAAACCTTTATCTTACAGTTAAAAAAATGTTCTGATTTCCAAATTAAATGAACTGTTTTACCTGTAATCAAAAACAATGATATAGAAAATGTCTTAGCAATTTGTCAAAACCAATGCTTTACAAAACAACATTCCCTAAACATTGTTTTCTAATTCACAGATTTTTGAAGTGATTCTACAATGAAGTCAACTTTATAACTCATATTTTTGAAGAGGAAACAAAGAGAAAAGGTAGCCAAACTGCTCACAAAATGCAAGTAAAAAAACCCAACAATTTTCTTTAGCCTCAAAAAGGGCTTTGCAGCAGCTTTTGTACTGACACTACATGTGTTAAGGGCACATAAAGCTGATCTGGCTGTGAAGCAGCAAAGTAACAAGTTGAGCAAATGTCACACTGGACTAGGTTACAGCTCCTTATAAATTCTTCAATTATAAGTCAGGTATTTTTGCATTTTAAGAAGTCAGTGATTGTGTTATAAAGTTTACAGATTTCATTATGATAGAAAAGGAGTTCTAAATTAAATTAATGGTGTTTTTACCAATATACCTTTGAATGTTGGTTATGAATCTAACCACCTGACACAGGACATCACTGAGGTCATTGCCAAATAAGTGCTAAACTTGTGTCTCTTATTTTGGTTAAACTCAAATCCTAGTGCATATATTTCCAAAAGCAGCAATTCTTGTTCTACAGTTACAGCAATTTTGGCATTTCTTTCAAACATTACAAAGGAAGAGTTTATATGCTTAGCTAAGAAGACTAAAGATGACTCCGTGTCCATATACATACTTGGTTTCCTTGTAGCTGGGTCCCATTGTATTCCAAGGTTCTGAGCAAGACTTTGTGCTAGTTCCTGTGCCATGGGCAAAGGGAGGCCATACTGCATTTCAAGGGGAGCAAATTAAAAAAAAAAAAACAAAAAAATTAATTATTGTAACAAACACTACAGTGACTCATTCTAGCTTACCACATACCTACTACTTCAGTAATGCAGTACTGTCAATCACAATTCTGTGTCCATATGAGAAAAATAAACTCAGTAAAGTTGAGTTTAACATAACAGAAAAAAATTTCCTCCCTTAACCTCAGGGAATCTCTCCCTGCTGGTTAACCTAAAGAAAGAAGTCTATTTGATATATATGTAATGCACTTTTGTATAGTATGATTAAACCATGTTAAAACAGGAGACTTTAATTATCAATTTAACATTATACTGAGACAAAATAATAATAATAATAATAATAATAATAATAATAATAATAATAATAATAA